AGGGGGGGAGACACAAGGGGCCGCCCCCGCCTCCTTATGCTTCTGGAGTGGGCATTATGTAAACTCCGAGACTTCCTCCGTGGATTCAGGTATCGCCAGAACGTTTGGGTCTGAGGCAGGAGAATAAAGGACGCTCGGCATGACGTGTCCTGTTTATGGTAATGAGCGAGAAAAAGAAGTGGCTGCCTTTTTTTTTTTTTTCCTCCCCTCTCGAGAAGAGCAAGGGTTAAATGGAGTTAAGAGCAGCAAGCGTTAAGCTATTGAACACGGAAATGACGGGAGGGGAAAGCACAGAGAAAAACACGGTTTATTTTTAAACTGCGAAAAAAATGGCTTTAAAAGTCACTGGTAACAGTCTTGCCTAACTATTGCACAGAGTGATTTGAGGGAAGGAATGACAATAGGGCTTATGTTAATAAAGGTGACTTTATAACTTTCTGCCAGACATTTCACAGTTAAAGTTACAGGTTTTCAAATAAAAGGTAGTAACCCCAGACTAGGCTTTTGTAAATAAAAAAAAATCAGTGAAAGGCAATAGAAGAAAAACTTGTGTTGATTGTTATGAAATATCATAAAAGCTGGAAACGTAAGTGTACACTCTGACCTGAAAAAACACAGACACATCTGGTGTTCTAGGCCCGAAGTCCTGAAGTAGAAGTGTTGTGGATTCAAAACCACTTTTGGGTTGGCTGTGAAAAACTGGATCTTTTGTCAGTCTGTAATCAAATGAACGTAGTGGGAGGGGAAAAAACACCCGTGCAATTACCCTTTCTCAGAGTTTGCAGTGGTGAAATTCAAGGGAAATCTCGATAAACATGTAACTGTTTAATCGGAGAAGGAAAACGGCAACACAAACACATGGCAGGATTTGGCTGCCATGAAAAGATTAAATGTACTTTGGAACACTTTTTTTTTTTTTTTTAATAGAGAAGCTTTTTTATTACATACAAAATACTCGGTTAAAAGTGCTAAGTTTGATGCACCATACAAAGATAATAAAGGAGTTTGATGACTGTAGAGCAGGTTTCTGGGAGGCACCAAGTGATTTAAGGATGTGTAATTTAATACTCAACTCTGAATTTCCTGGCTTTTGATCAGTGTTTTATGACCTTGTATTTTTAGAAGCATTTTGTATTTTCTGGTGCTTAGTAGCGGTGGGTTTTTTGTTTTTGTTTTTGTCTTCTAAGATGGTCGTAGCTTTATGGCCATCAAGTCCTTCTGCTGGTTTGCTTTGTTTTGGCCAACTCCTTTTGCTTATGAGCTAGAATTTAGATGTGGAACCTCTCTGATCTGTCAGGGTTATTGCAGAAGTATATTTTTAAGCTTTCCTTGTGATGTCCCTGTTTTTCCTCACTTACCTCCTTTACCATAGTGTTAAAAAGAAAGAAATTCATTACCTCAAAGAAATTACAGGAGGCTGAGCATGTTTCTGAAGGAAATAGTGTGGACGCTCCACCAGAAGACATAAAGCACGGTTAGAAGGTTATAACAATAAAATACTTTTACTCTAGTTCTTAAATAATGGTAAGTGATGAAAGTTGAAGAGTTCCTAGGTTAACCCAGAGGACTATGAAGAGGAGAAGTGCCAGTATAACATGTCTATGCTTTGCTTTTCTTAAGTGCAGGTGGGAGTGAATGCTTCTTAAGTGGCCTATCTTTTCTTCCTGGTAATTTAATGAAGGTGGCTGTTAGGGCAACTCCATGTTTATGTTACCGGCTTGGCACCTGGAGTTGCTAACTGGGCTAAGCAATGAATAGTATCAGGGCATTCCTACCTGAGAACTGGGGGGAAAACCCACTAAAGCATTTGCTGCCTTTTCTCCTTTCTGGATCCTTCAGCCCTTCAGAATACAATTAAAGGGAAGAAAATGAGGGAAGATAGCAAGTAACAATATGCATGTTACATTGCTAATACAAGTAGCATTGTCAAATATTTTTTCTACAAATCAGTTGCAAATAGAGGTCTCAAAGCATCTTCTTGTGGAATATTGGCACTTTCAGTGCTTCTGAAGTTATCTAAGTAGTAGTGGAAGAAGGATGGATGTTTTTGTTGGAAGGAAATTTGAATCACATATTGAGCAGGGGTAAAGATCTGTTGTATTCTTGAGCAAAATACTCAAGGAAGACAGATCTGTCCAAAGAAGCCAGTATCCTAAAGCAATTCTTACTATCTTCTATTAGTGTACTATGGGTACCTTGTACACTTAAATTTTCTGCCTCTGTAGATTTCTGTCTTCAGAACTGTTTTTCTGGAGTAATCTCCTCCTATCTGTGACTGACAGAAAGCAGTAACATCAGTGCTTTTCTTTCACTTTGTATGTGCTGGGGATAGTTGACTGAAAAAAAATGGGTGGGGAGGAACAATCAGGGCAAAAGCTTTCAAAGTCATTTTTCATATAAATAGCTTCATAATTTTAATGTGCTGATGTATTGTGAGCAGTGATATTTTTGTTTCATTGGTTTGTGAGAGGAATGATGGTCCTCTCTATATAATTTCTGAAGATTCCTTTCATTTTCTTCCTTACCAGTGGACAACTTGTATGAAAGCTTGAACAGCAGTAGATATCTCTTTCTACCATTACAGCTGTGTGTACGGCATTTCTGGACCTCAAGAATTTTACAAACATCCTAAAGAATGCTTAAAAACGAAAACTACCGGAAAACCAGGCATTGATCAAGTGGTAGAGGTTTAAAAAAAAAGGAATGTAGTCTAGGATCAGAATAGCAGCTCCTTAATTTTTGTTGGAGGTCAACAAAACCCAAGGGTCAGTGCTCTTTTTTGTTCTCTCTCAGAATCATAGTGTTACTTAAAAAAGGAAAGGAAAACTTATATGGAGAAGTGTTTGAAGGGAAGATGCATTGACTGCCCTGCTGTTTACCAGAACAAGCCAATTTCTTTCCACAGTGAGCTATTCTGTTATGCTTTTACAAATTCTAATTCTTGATTAGGAAGCTTTGTCAAAATCTGGATATGAAATACATATACAGTGGCATCAGTGATACTGTAATATACGAAAGATTATACCTAGAGTATTTTTCTTTTTCAGATGGACAGACATTTTTGTGTTGCTGCCAGTTAGCTGTGCAAGCTGATAGAAAGCTAACACTGTCCTAGTGACTGTTGTTCATGGTATATCTATGTAAGTGAGACAATGAAAAACAGTACTAGAAAAAAGAATTTGTCATTTCACTTAATTATAATATTTGCAGCTCTGAGCAGTAGGTAAGTGGTAAAGAAAGCATAAGTATATGCTACCTGTAAAGCAATTACCACATAAAATGCATAGTTAATAAAGTGAGATATCTTACAAAATATTCCTATGTATTTCTAAAATATTCAGAATAAACATGTGGGTCTTGTTGAAAAATGGGGATTTCATAAATACTGTATGTAATATGAACATTCCACTACACAGACAAGTTAGCTTTCCAGCAGACAGTGATCTATGTTATGTAGTATGAGGAGACAAAAACACAGACTCAATGCAAATTGTAACCATGGAAGAAACTATGTACAGAATTAGGTAAAATCATGGAAAATCGTATAGTAACTTCACTTAAGTTAGTCATGTGACAATTGTCCAAAAAAGGCTGAGGAAGGTTGTGCAATTTTGAGTAAGCTGCCATTGTGTGAACTTTTTCTAATGTATCACAGGCCAGGAAATCTTAGCCAGACATTTATTTACACTGCAGTTGCCTTTGAACTGTCTGTAGTGCCAAACTAAAAAACAAAAATAAATTACTTTTCAGTGCAAACTATGCATTACATTTTCTATAACAAACTGAAGAGGATTCCACAGTAATAGTTCTTTGTTGTCACTCAGAGATACAAGGATGGTGTCAATTTTTCTGGCAGAAAACATGGTACATTCAGTACAGTTTGCCTGCTTTGGACACCTTAGTAGCTTTGAAATGTCTTGCTTTTTTAAACTGAGGAAAAAGTTAAAATTAGTAATTTGTGTCTTTTTTTTTTTCTTAGAATCATAGAATCATTTAGGTTGGAAAAGAGCTCTAGGATCATTCAGTCCAACCACAAAGCCAGCATTGCTGAGTCCACCACTAAACCATGTCCCCAAGTGCCACATCTACAGGTTTTGTAAATACCTCCAGGGATGGTGACTCAACCACTTCCCTGGGCAGCCTGTTCCATTCTTGTCTCAGTGAAACTTTCCTAATGAATTCAGCAGAAGATTAGGCCTTGATTATTTTATTTTTGGCAATGTGAGCAAGTCATTGAACCACCTGTTGGAAATAACTGCAGTTCAGCTTATGTAAACTTCATTGAAGGATTTAAACTGGATAAACACGCTTACTTTTGTCTAGGTAGGCACTCCCATAGACTTCTTTTGGACTATTTGGTGCATATGCATTATACACTTACATGTAGGTTCAAACGTTATCTTTTTTGAAAGCAGAAATGGCGTCTCCAAACATGTTTTTGTCTTAATTAGCTTTTTTCCAAATAAATGGAATTTAAATTTAGATTAATTTCAATGTAATTTTGCTAAAGGACAGGTGATACTATTTTTACTAAAAATCATCAGTGTGAATGCTTAAAAAAATTAAATAAAGCATGGCTGGCTCATGGTTGTTAAACACTTCTAATGAAAGCCTGAATGAAAACAGTTCTGGTAACTGATCTTAGCTATGATCTGGTTTGCACTTTAAATGTTGAACTGTGTAGACCTGTTTTCCCTTCTTTGCCTCAATGCATCTGTTTGCAGAATTCTCTTTTTTTGATGCTGAACATTATTAATTTTTAGTGTTAAAATAAGACAGACTTTAAAAGTGTTATTTTACATGCTCTAACTATAGCTTGTGACTATGAAAGAGGTATGTTTTGAGGAAACATAGGGCAGTATTCATGTGATCTACTTCAGGTGTTTGGAACCTCCGATTCAGAAGTTCAGAGTTGGGTGTTGAACTCCTTTTTTTATTCATAGGCAAGGAAGTGAGGATTCAGGTTACCAAAGAATGTGGCAGCAGTTTAAAACATCAAGCTAATGGGCCATTCAGTTCAGAGTCCCATTGGTAACTGGTCATAAGTGAGTGCCTGTGAAAAAATCTAAAAACATCTTGGGCATATATGGTGTATGTGTGTTTCCCCTTTCGGTTTCCAGCCATTTTAAGCTGAGGGACATCCTGAGCTCAAGGCAGTGTCTCAGTTAACTTCTTTTCTAGATGTTTGCCCAGCGTCCTCCTAAACAAACATCTATAGTATCCTTTGATAAGAAATTTTGTAGTTCAACTACCTGTTCTGTAAAGAGCCTTTTCTTGTTTTAAAGCTGGCTGATAACTAGTGTCTCTTGATTCCTCACATAATCCAGTGTAGCTTGGTGTTACTGAAAGTCTCACCTTCTATGTTTAAATGATGTAGAGATTGGAATATCTGAAAGTATTTAACTGCTAGATGATGTTGAATTTTCTGTTAGACATAATAATTGTATGTAACTACAAATAAAAGCAGCATACTCAAGTAGTAAAACAGGATTCATAGGAGGTTATATTAAAAGGACAGCAGTTCTAAATTTAGGATGTCTTCTGTTTTAATGGGATGAAAGTAGTTCTGGGCACTGACTTCCCCAAGCATGTTGCTTCACCACATGAAGTGTTTGTCGATACTGGTGAGGTATCCTGTTACTTCTGCCCCTATGTTGACCTCTTATTTGCAGTGTGACAGCTGTGTGTGGCTGTGTTGTGGACTGGATCAGGGAACTGATCTGCCGCTTAAAAAAATCTGGTAGGTTTCTTAAAGCCCGATCAGCTAATCAATCTGATTCCTGGTATGTCCTTGCCAAGAGCTGCCTGGATTGGGAATGGGGTGAGAGAAGGGGAGTTTCAGGAAGAGGTGCTAAGAATACCTTAAATAGATATTGTTTCCAAACACTTAGATTGTGATTTCACAAAGCAAAGTCTGCCGGGTAATAGATGTACATTTTCAATAATATTTGGCTAGTTCCTACTACTTTAGTTTTTTCTGTGTGGAAGACTTTCCCAAATAAGGAGTGTGACTCAGACTGAAACTACACAGATTGTCAAGAGCATAGAGTAACCAAGGGAACTTCTTTTCCGTCTATTTTAAAATAAAAACCTAAGGACATTTAAAAGGAAAGTATTTTTCCTTCCTCTAACTAATGCATCATTTAATCAGACCTGTCTGAATTTAAGGGATATCTTAGGAGTTTAATGTTCTGCCCTTTTAGCTGAAGGATTTCTGCATACTTATAAATAATAATCTAATTTATACTGGCTAAATAGTGAGCTACCAGCACTCGAAAACCAAGCAAACCCATGGAAGCTCTAAGATTATGTACTTAATTATTGTCTTGGTTGTCGCAGCCTGAGGAAATAGCTTAGAAGTAGTGAACAATAAAACATGTATACTGTCTTGTGTGTGGAGGAGTAAATGACTGGTTTTTCCTCGTGTGAGACTTCAGAAATCAACATACACAAGGTATGCAATAAGCTTAAAATTGTAAAACCTGTGAGGTGACTGAAGGATTTTTATACAAAATATTTAATAATACTAATAACACATTGAAGTGGACATTGGATTTGCACCCAGAAAAGTAATAGTTGGCCTATTGCCCTAAGTTAGTAGCACACTGGGGTGAACTATTTACATCAGAAAAACTTTGTAGGTTAAACCTAATCTCAGTGAGTGAAGAATTCGTGGTGTGCTAATAAAGTTTTGATTGCAGGTGCAGCCATGGTGAGAGTTCTCCCTGGCTGAACATATGCCATTTGTTAGGAGCTGGTTGGTTCTGGCTCTGCAGGCTGATAAGCGTTGACCGTTTTACGAGCATTTACACTGGAGAGTGCTGTGCTTAGAGGGTCTGTACAGGTTAGTGCCTGACCTCTGTGCTTGGAGGTTCAGTACTGCAGGCCAGCTGGGCCTGATCTTTCTGGCTGCCTATGCTGTCATTCTGCAGTTTCTTCTTTGCTGTGTGACCTGACTTGCTGCACCTCAGACACGATTAGTCTGAGCCTAAACAGTAGTAATTCAGTGTTAATGCCACTGGAAGGAGCATGTTTGGTTGTAGGGTTTTTTGCATATGCAGATCAGTTGCTGTGCAGGTGCAGTAGGCCTCCTTGTCTGGACTGGAGATGACAGCTGGAGTGCAGCGGCACAAGTGATTTGTATAGCACACTCAGAACAGGCAGCTCTTTTCATTGTGCCGCAGATCCACATGGAGAAGTAGGCATGGGATCTGTCTGAAATATTCTTATGGCAATGAGGGTCTGTTGCTGGTTGCCATCTTACTGAATTACCTTATCTCTTGCCAGAATCCAAAATACTTTCCAACTTGCTTTTTAAAACCATTTAAACGATGCCCTGTGTGATCTTCACCTGGGAGACACTGAGCTTGCTTGAATAGGTTGTTGCTGTAACAAGTCATACAGTCAAAAGCCTTCTTCGAAGTTGCCTTTGGAACAAAGGTCTTTGAAGAGGGTGGCACAGTCAGAAGAGGTAGTCGTAGTGGAGTGCAAGTGGCTCTCCAGCCTAAAGGCTGAAAATCCTGAGAGTAGACACGAGCTGGCATTGGGCATTCTTCTTGTGGCAGAGCTAATACGTTGTGAGCCTTGACAGAAAAGGGAGTAGGAGCTGTATGAGCTCAGCTGTAGGCTTTAACACTTCATGCTTTTCTGAAATAACATTCAGAATGTGGAAATCAATGACGATTAGTATATTCTGTGTAATGACTGATGTTTATTCTGAAGGACATTAGAATTAAAATATCTTGAATAACTTGTAGAGTCAGAAGCACTAACTATTAGATTAAACTCTCATGTCATGTTCCAGTCTATAAAAATGAGTAAGCCCTGTGCATTTGCGAAATCATACCATTCTTTCAAACCCAAGGGGGGCTTTTGTCCAGTATGTTATTTACAGTGGTGAAACTTTTCTCTAGTTTCCTTTCAAGTAATTGTTGGACCTTTTAGAATACTATATCCAGAACTTCTCATAGCATGCTTAGTTGCAATACAGGTGGTTACAATGAAAATTTAATGTTGGAAGAAAATATTCTAGCATCAAAATCAGGCTGATTAGAATATCGTGTATTTTTTGCTCATTGCATAAGCCCTTTGTTTTGAGTAGTGGCATGCATACCTTTGAGTCACCTTCTGCAATTATATACATTTTTGTTGAGTTTTGAATGCCGTTTTTTTCAGGTCATGGAAAAACTCCAAAAGATGCTGCTTCTGTTCGAGCTACACATCCTATACCTGCGGCCTGTGGCATATACTATTTTGAAGTTAAAATTGTCAGTAAGGGAAGAGATGGGTAAGCATTGAGTATATTATTAACCATTGCTTGAAATACTGTCTCGCACCATCTTTCTTTCAGTGAACAGATGCCTTTGGTATCAAAACATATTTTCATGTTTTACCACTTTATATAGCTTGATTCCTTATTCTTGAGAAGTTGCAATCTTATATTTGGTTGTTTTAAGAGAGTGGTATTTATGGCAGTATTTGTTGTCCACAAATCAGTGTACACAATAAATACCATAACATCATCTCATTTTTAATTTGAAAAAAAGTTAGGGTTTGAATAATCATAGTTTGACCCTGTCCTTACCTTTAAAGATGTTGTGGTTTTAGCTGTATGGACTTACAGACTTCCATATAATTTTTAGGAAGATTTTAGGATGTGCAGCAGACTAACTTACCTCCTTCAGTGTGGTCTTTTCATGGATGCCATATCAATTTTGAAACAGAAAGTTATTCTTAAGGGTATATGTTTAACAGCAATAAGAATAAAGGGAAATGGTCTGAATAGGTGTCTGGGAATTTGTCACCCTATGGAAAGAAGAGGAGTTGATGAGTAAGAAGCTGATGCTTCCTGAAATCCATCTAACTATGAATCTATTGAAGCACAAGGGATACCATACTTTTAAGTCTACGGAGGCAGATAGAATTTCACCTAGGAAGGTCTTGAAGTGCTAATGAAATCCTTGCTAAACCACCTTAATTCATCTTTCACTGCTTTTGGCAGAATGTCTGCTTTAATCCCAACACACTGATTGTGTTGGCTGTGTGGAACTACCAAAGCAGTAAGTCTTTCCAATCTGCTGTGGTATGCTGTCTGGTTCTACTTCAAGGTTCTAGTCAGGACTGATTGTCCCTGTTTTGAGTACTGTACAAGCATGTTGCAGATGCTTATGTCTTGTTATGAAAATAGATATTGAGAGAAAAGAAAGATTTGGTAGCTCTTTGGATGAAATTCAGTACTTTTGTCTTTTCTTTGTCTTGCTGCAGTTTGTTTCTTTCATTTTCCCAGTGTTCCACAAGCCTTCTGTAAGTCATAAGCAGTATTTAAACTTTTTTGTTTTGCTTACAGTACTGTATAGAGGTATGTTGAAAAGAATAGCCTATCACTGCTGCTGCTTTGTAGGGGCATTTATGAGTTTGTTGTTATTTCTGTTCCCAAAAGTTATCTGTGGTAGATTTCTTTGCTATGAAAAACTTACTTCCATAGCTACTTTTGTCACACTTTGAAGACCTAATTATTTTTAAATTGAAATTATAGACATTAGTGTTTCAAGTAATATTTTGCTATTGATTTTAGAAATGCCTTTTGTGTTGGGTTGTTTTTTTTTTAATTTTAGGAACATTTTGCAAAAATTACCCTGGTGCTGGCAGTTAAGGAGAAGTTCTTACTGTGATTTGCTAGTGATGTTCATCTCTTCTTGAAATAGGTTTCTGCCTGCTTAGTTTGGAAGCTGCCTTTTTTGAAGCAGTGGATTTCAAAAAATGTCCGTGTGTGTATATCATTTTACATAGCTTCTCTAACACTTTACCTTAGATATTTTTGTCCAATTTCTAATTGAGTAGACTAATCAGGGGAATCCTACAAAACAGGAAAACACCTTTGAGTAATTTTTTTCAGGGTTTTGTTGTTTAAATGGTTATTTGTGAGATGTACATAGCTAAGACTTGTGAAGTTGCCTGCTGAGATTGCTTAAAAAATGGAGGGTACGTTTTACAGTTAATGATAATACATACTGCCTTGTCCTTGCTTTATCCTTATGACCTTTTTAGTGTCACTTTATGAAACATTACCTGCATAGTGAGCTGAGATGTTAATTTTTTTCATTGTATAAGATAGTATGGATGCTGGGAAATACTGTGCACAGAACCAAAGCCAAATCTAGCTAGGCTGATAAAGAGCAGGAGTCAACATGTGGAACCTCACTGGGTGTGTGTATCTCTAGACCTTCTTTCCAGATCCAAGAGGTCTTTGATGAGATGCAGGATGAATGTCTTACAGTTCAGTGTTACGCTGCATTCAAACTAATACATTTTCTGTAATAAGTAATCTGGGGAATTTATTGCAGAGAAATAGAAGTAGGACTAGAGAAACCAGTTTGTGTCTGATAGGGTTTATTAGTTGTTTTTCACTGCCTGTTGTGCTTCACCTTGCTTGCCTCAGGTATGTATTTCCTCCTCTCTCTGCCCTTTATGTGGCATCTGGTAATGGGAACAGAGTTCAGGAAGACCATATCTGTAGAAGACCAGCATGTAACTAATAGGTCAATTAGCTGAAATGCCTTACTGTTGCAAAATCATCTGTTCTCAAGGTCTGAGACTAACTGTGGAAGCACTACAGCTGTATCCCATAGTAGCGTTTAAAATAAATCCTAGACTAGCTGGGACAACCCAGATATCTATCTGCAAGCTGAAGTACAGCTTCCAACTTTCATAAATGTCAATTGATACTTTAGTGGTGTTTATTTGGAGTTCCCTTTGGTAGTAGCCTTTACAACTTATATTTATTTTTCTTAATAAACTCAGCTAAAAGTATTTAGTCCATGTACTACTATATAATATGAATAAGTCTAACAGCATTCTTGCTTGTGTCCTCTACTTAGCATGACTTGCCCTAAATCATCAAAAACCTTTACTAAAAACCTACTCCAGATTTATTTTTTGTGCTACTGTAGCACTTGATGGTGCTGCTCCTGGAATCTGATCTTTCATATCTCAGAGTTGCAGGGCAATCACAAAAATTCTTCTTCTCTAAAGAAGCACAGCACTTAGGGCATGGATATGGCATGGCTTCCAGTATGGCTTGTTGTGGCAGTCTGTGAGCAAGAACAGCACTGGTTTTGTCACGCTAATAACCTAGATCATTAAATTCTTTAATGTATTTCAGGGAGGTAACTGTCTTGAAGGTGCATAACGTGTTAATTTTGCAAAGTTCATGACCAGCTTTTTAGTGCGTTATGAACACAGTGAAGAGAGTGTGAAAACAATTTTAGTAGGAATTAAGAACCTGGTATGGAGGTTGGTGCTGCAGAGCAGATGAAGAGTGAAGTTACTTTTTGATACCTCAGTGTGGTGTGATAGGATCAGACAGCAGCTGATGGTAACAGATGAGAAAAAGAGAAGTGAGCATTAAGGTCAGTAAAAGTAATAAGGTTGAAATAGCATTCAAACAGAAACTGTCTTGGTGTTTGTACAGTGTTTGGCACAAGAAGTCCTAAGTTCTATTACAGCTGTATTACACGTATGTGAAATAATTCTTTTAAATCCTTGTTAAAAGTGCTAACAAATTGTCATGTTGCTTCTTAAATATTTTCTGTTGGTCTTTATTTCTTCAATTTTCTTTATTTCGTGTTGTCTTTTGTAGTCTAAGAGCCTCTATTTATTTGTATTCTCCTTTTAAACTCTTTTGCTTTGTTTTGTTTGGTGTCACATGGAACATTGTGGACAGTGATGTGAGTGGAGATGGTAACAGGAAATGAGTAATGGGTGTAAGTATGGGGAACAGTACCAAGGTGTTGATTAGAAAGTATGATAGGAAGGAGAATATTAACTGCAATAGATTATATCTGCATCTCTGTTGAAATGTCCAGTTAATTTAAAAATAAATAAGCACATATATGTTTCGAAAATTCTGGCATAGATTAGGCATCTGAGAGATTTAGTTTTAAATTAAACCATTTTAACCTTTTACTGCAGCCCTCATTTGTAATTGATCAATCAGAGAACCAGAAGTAACATATGTAGTTTTTATTCTGTAATTTCTTAATACAATACTCAAGGGAGTGAGGTATGCACAGTGTTGCCTTTTGCATAGAACTCTAGTTTCATCTAAATTTCTAGAATAGGATCTTAATTAAAGCAAACTACATTGGCAGTCTAGGAATGGGAATGAACAAGGGTGTGCTAAGTCCTGTGAACCTATTCTTGTGATCTGGAGATGTAAGCCCTTGGTCTCTAAATCTGTATAATACTGTACTGTTCCCTCACTTTCCAAAAAAATTGAATAGCCATTTTCTTAGCTAGGTAGGTATATCCAAATGAGACTTTTTCCTGTCTTTCTCTCAGATCTTGGTTTCAGTTTTATCATGCTGCTTTTTATTGAGTTCACTTGTACTAGTCTTTTACATATTTTGGTCATCTGTCTTATGTAAAGCAGTAATGCATCTGCCTTACAGACTCCCAGTTAATATTTTATTTTAGCTACCAGGTAGTGTTTCCCTCTTTTACACAACTAAAGATACTTGCGTGATTCCATCATAGTTCATGTAAACAGAAGTCCAGAAACTTTCTGCTGTTGCTGCTGGTGTCCTTCTTTAATGGTGGAGTCTCATCTATAACCTCTCTCAGCTGAGAATCTGTGAGCTTTGTTGTAAGCTTAGGTCGCACTGTTTGGCATTTCACACTGGCCACGAGCATACTCTGGTTCTGCTTTCCAAGGGGCAGTCTCAAGGGGTATCCACTGGCCTACCTGGCTTTCAGAAGCAAACTACCTTATATTATTTTATGTTATAAACAGCTTATGTGTGTATGACTTACTGAGCAATCATCCATTTCTACATGAATTGTAGAAATTCATGTCTTAGGTTTGTTGGTTTTGTAATTAACATCTTAATTTCCAGTCGGAGTAGTGTTTCTGTAGTGTTTGCAATTCTTAGTGTAAACTGTAGTTTGAAGACTGTAGTGATTTCACTACAAGATGAAGCAGTCTCTGAACACTCATTAAGTTCATGTCCCTTTTCCCAATTTGTGACTGTCAGCTTCATGGTAAACTTGATTGGGTAACCTGTACTGTAAAAGTTGACCTCAAGAATGATTTAGTTTTCATCCAGATTCATTCCCCAGCATGGCTGTTTGTATCACTTCATAAGTAGCTATGGCAGCAAAAGAGAGTGGCAGAAACAAGTATCTGGGCCCAGGAGGATGGGAATGCTACTTTGGTCGTGGCACTAGCTTATGCCCACTTAATTTTAGTTTAAATACAACTTTTTGACTTTTTAAGTCTTTCACCAGAAG